TGCCCCAGATCTTATCAAGAATATCAGTAACTAAATTATGAATGTGATACCCTATTGATATCCATAAAGATTGCATTATTCCACTTGTCCTTTCCAATGTTGCATCAGAGTACAGACCTAGTTACAGGACTGAGAGAGGATTGTGTTTACATGGGGGGATTCATTTCCTGTTCCACAAAAAAACATATCACAAATTAAAAACACGAGGATTACCATCTTGTCTGAGTACCACTACTGTTTCAGTGTGTGTGTGTGTGTGTGTGTGTGTGTGTGTGTGTGTGTCGTCGCTAGGAAGACATACCCCTCGGAGGAACAGACAGATTAGCGAGTGGATTATTGCTTCCAGCACGGCGTTCAAGCTGCATTCCCAGGAACGTCTCCTTAACAAGCATCACAGTCCCCTCCAGGTCGCCCGCAGCCAACCCCACAACCCGACAAAGGAGAGGAAAAGTGATCTGATGGCACTCTGTGTAATTTCTCCTTATCTCCCTTTTCTTAGCAGGATAGTCAAAACGCCTTTGACCCTGAGCTGCAACCTTGTGATGTTTCAGTGTGTTTGTATGTGGCGTGGCCCTCACAGGAGCTCCTGTTGAGGCCTCCAGAGAAAGAGGGAGAAAAAGAGGGAGGATAAAGGCCTGGAAGGAGACACAGTCAGGGGGAGGGGAGAAGGGGATAGTTGGTCTTATGACAGAGGGGGTCTGCAGCTAACAAGCGGTGTGAGCCACAGAAGGTGTGTGTAGCGGAGCGTGAGGAAACAGTTGAGACAGCGCAGGCCCACTGAGATGACCGTGGAGCTAATGCTATTTTAGTGAGATGCTAACGGCATGCCTGGGCCCTGGTGCTCTGCCTTTCCACACGGATCACAGGGGCCCACAGCACAATGAAAGGAGACACCTCAGGTCTGCGGGGGAGGTATTACTAGTGACACGTCTTTTGGGCACCGGTTGGGACTCCTTTACCATCTGAGCCTCTCGTATCATGACTCACACGCAGGCATGTTGGTTATATAAAGAGACCCCTAAATGCAATGTGGCGTGGAAGGTGAGGTAGAACAACGCTCAGAGCAGAAAAAGATTACTGACACTTCAAATCGAGGTACACGGAGAACGCTTTATAAAGCAAGGCACCTTGGGTAATTTGACCTGAAGGGAGTTGAGATATCTCTCAAGGTTAGCAGGCATTCAAGCTGTTCTCTCTCTCTCTCTCTCTCTCTCTCTCTCTGTTTTCTTTGTTCTTCTTTAGTTTAGTGTCATAACGCATCGCTTTAATTGTAGGCCTATACTTGAACTAGTATCACTCAAATCAACAACACAATTAGACATGTTCAAAGATGTTAAGCTAAAGAGAGCTTATAGACTTCTACTCACAGATGTTGCACAAAACAAATATGTTTCAATACAGTAAAAGCACTTTTTGTATTTTCCTGTCAATGCTTCTTTTACACAATCAATGTTCAAAAATAAATGTATTCTCTATACAAAAACTGACATTTATGTTCAATCTGAAACAACAGCATTGGAAAGACTATGAAGGCTACTCATACTGTTACTACATCTTTACTCTAGAACTGACACAAATGTCAGTTAAAATGTATTTTAAGTGACAGTACGTTTTAAAAAGGGAAAGGGGGGAGAAAGGGAAATTGTAAGCCCTTACGATGATTTATGGTAGACCTATTTACGTAAAGAACACATTTAAGTTACAAAATACAGTAGGCAAACGTAATGTATGTCAAGGCAAAGGCTTACACATCACACCACACAGCCATTTCTTCCATACACTGTAGCAATATCATTTTCCTACCTTCCTTCCTCATAACGGGGGTTACATTATAACTAGTTATATAAACACAGGCGGAGCCCTCTACTGGACTCTATGGGTACTACTCTCTATCATGCTATGCGTGCATTCACCTACTGAGTTGCATAAACGTAGCCGGCCAAGAGGGGCGAGCCTACCCGAATGCTTGCGCAGGCCCACAGTATATAACGTGTCTACGCTTCCCGACTGTCATCCTACACCCTCTTCAGCGAGCGGCATAGGAAAGACAGGGCCCCCAGGTAGAGGGCTCCGCCTGTGCTTATATGACTAGGGTAACAATACGTAACCCCCCGTTATATATCACACAGGCTCCACCCTCAGTCATATAAGCACAGGCGGAGCCCTCTACCTGGGGGCCCTGTCTTTCCTNTCAAGTATCGATTCTTCTTCTTCAATCCCTTCATACATGAGCAAAGTTGCGTCACACATCTCATAGCCTCCTTCCTGCTCGGATGTTTTGCGGACATTTGATACCATCATGGCCTCCTGGGACCTCTTGGCCTTTGTGTTGTCCCTGTCGCTAGTGATTGTCATTGGAGAGAGCTGCTGGAATTTTGCTGTTGGACAGAAATGTCAATATGTTGATACTCTTTGGAGCTCTTCTTTCCGTGTTTTACTGACGGCAGGGACTTTGAACCTGATTAATATTACCTCGCCTGATGAAGGAGGAGGAACAGTGCGCCATTCTTTGAAATGCTGCATTAAATGTAATGTAATACGGCAAATTTTATACAAGAAGCTCTGGATTGTAACCTTTGATAAGAGGGAGGTTTTATTAATTTTTACGTTGTCTGTGTTTCGTTGCCTTTTTCCTGTGATAAGAGATGACATATGCTGTGTGGTGTGTTGGTCCCGGTGCGTCGAGTGTGATGCATACCTCCCCTAACCTGACCTGCGCTGATGCATATGCTCAGGCATGGTAGGGCCAGCACCCTGCCGCAATCTCCGCCCTGCTTCCTCCGCGTCCTTACGTCTTCTTAATTTATTCCTAACAGAGGCCCTCCCCTATTATGCTTTTGGGCGTTTCCCTCTCATTAGTGTGTCCTATTTAGGATTTTTGTGCATGCCTGAAACACCTTCCATAGGACTCCTCTCGTTTCACTTATGAACATCGTGAATCATTATGCAACCTTGCGCCTCCGGATATGTCTTATACATTGTCGTGATGGCTCAGGGCAGGACATCTCTAAGGCCCGCCACACGCAGACGGTACGGCGTATCTGCTGCCAGTTCACTATCAGATAGCGGCTTCGTCCACACAAGGCCGACATGGGAAACACGGAAAACGACAACGATAACGGGTCCAAGGGGGTAGATTTCTGCAAACGAAACGCTCTGGGGGGGCAAACGGCTCCGTGTTTACGGGGCCTATCGATCATTTTCCTGATAACGTTGAAGCAATAGCCCCCGCCTCTCCTCCACCATCTCCTGCTCAGAGATCAGCTGTTCCTGCAGAGCAGGGGGAGGAAAGAGAGGCTCCGTTTCTTATTCCTTCTATGTATTATATAGAGTCGTTATTCATTTGTTCTAAAGCTCAATAAATAACAAAGAAGACCTTTGACCGGCACTTGTCTAATTTTGTCCGGAAGATTTAAACTTTACATGTTGACCGGCAAAAAAAATCGAACTGAAACTGCCGCATGGTCCCCTCGTTCCTTGGAAGAGACGAAGAGGTGGGTGTTTTTCATCTGCTGGTGGACTACCGGAGATAATTACAGCAGGAGCAAACGCTTGCCTCGGGGAGGGAGAAAAAGAGGCAGAGCGTCCACAGCGGAGAATAAACAGAAGGGCAACCATGGCAACCATGCGCGGGAGGTCTTCTTCGCTGCTTTTGTGCAGGACTACAGCGCCACTTAGAGGCCTGGCATATGTACCACAGCGTCTCCAGCGCTTTCGAGCGGTCTCGTGTGAACGGACACGTTTCTGGGGCCTGTTGCGTGTGGACGGCGGAAGACTTTTTTGATAACAATTGCGGTCCGTTTGCGTTATCGTCCTCATGTGGCTCCAGCCTAAGTGGTTGACCAATCACAACAGAGCCGGCCAGCTAACCAATCAGAGCAGACTGGGCTCTGGTTTCAGACAGAGGGTGAAAAGAGGTGCTGCACAAGGCATTATGAGACAAATAAAGAGCTTTTTGAACATTAAAGCATGGAGACATGTCACAGGAGAGACACTACATACTGATGAACCTGAAAATGAACTGAGAATGAAATACGGCTCCTTTAGCCAAAATGTTTAATGAGACACTGCAATGATTGTGGTTATGTTTATAGGCTTTATTGTATGATGAGCTGGTAACGTAAACATTTTTTAAGGTCATGTTAATATATTGTACGATAACATAAAAATGATCAATCATCGTGAATGCACAACTGATTCCACTTTGGCATGCATGCGTTTGCCAGGTTTCACCCCTTCTGTCTCCCCCTTTTAACTCGGTCTCTTTCATGAATGCACTGATGGCCTGAAAACATCTTAAAAAATACAAAATAAACTATGAAATCCTGGCATGCTAACCAAATTTCTTGAGTTAGACTTGCATTTTATAAACTGACCTCAGCTTCCCTCCTGCCTCTCCGGGGCCTTGACCTTGTCCATGTTGATTGCTGGTGTAAATAATCGACATAAATAGTTTGTTAGTTCTTTCAGGCATTGGGCTCACAGGGTTAACCCAGACAAATTGAATATGTACAGTAATGTGTTGGAGAGGTGCTGTTGGTACGTTTCAGAGCATATGGTCGTGTTGTTCTCTCCAGGCCGCTCACAGACAGGTTCTGATCAAAGTGCTTCCAGCTGCTTTACAGATAAACTGCAGGGCGTGGACGGGAAGACGCTGTGTCTGGAGGAATACCTTCACTAAAATGTCCCATTTGCATTTGTTCTACAGACCCATGTGTATTCGCCACACACACACACACACACACACACACACACACACACACACACACACACACACACACACACACACACACACACACACACACACACACACACACACACACACACACACACACACACACCAAAATACCTTTCTCCTCACACAGCCTTTCTTCTGTCTGTTTTAAGTCAAAAGAATAATCCCCTCTTATTCTGAATATAAATATCACATCTGTTTTCGACACAGTTGCATAATGATGAAAAAAACTTACATTTGTTTTCTTTCTTCTATTTTCCTAGACTACTATCATCCTGAGGCCAAGAGCTTTTCACACACCCTTGGTTTCAGTTCCAGATCCATGGTACACACACCCAGTCGCGTCATGGCTGTGAGTATGAACACTATGATGCATGCGAGAAAACATCTTAAGAGCTGTCCGGCACACATGAGCGAGAAACTCTGCAGCTTTGGGATACTTTTAGTGTAGCTCAGGTCAAAGACAGGAAACACAAACAACTGTTGTTTCATTACAATTGTATTGTCTTTAAATATAATCAATACATTTTTTTTGTTCTTCTGTGTTTCTCTTTATCTATTTCCTCTGTTTTTGTGTCGAAGTGACTAATAGCTACACAAAATTTTGGATGGAAACGTGAGCGTAAGAGCGTACAATTCGATGTGAGATTTGGTTGGTTTGGAGTACAACAAGCTCAGCTTTGTGTTATTTAAAATATTGAATTGTCTTGGTGAATATTGAGCTGATTAATATAATGTGGATGGGTATGAGATCAACACTTCTCATTCAGTGAGACTTTGTAAGACAACAACCAATGTGCAGAACAAGCAAAAGTTAAAGAAAACATTGTATTTGTTCTGGTCTTTACGTTAAATAATTTCGGACATAATTAATGTATTTTATTGAACATACATTAATGATTTGGCATCTCCCAATGTGATTATCTTAGCAGCCATTTTCGTGGCTACAGTGCTATTCCTAAATATTGGATCAAAATGGTTGTCCCCACTACGCACTTAGACACAAACACATGGGAAAATAGGGTCCAGGATCAGCCTTGTAACTCTTTTTACTGTAGTCTCCAATCCAAAAATGTGTTTTGACTTTTGTGTAAACTCTCGCAGTCAAAAGATACAGGTCACAAGGCAAGGCAAGGCAAGGCCCTCTGATTCTAGGGAGTTCTCACTAATTGAGATCTTTTCTGATGCCAGGATTTCCCAGTCCGTGTCCCCAGATTCATTATTTTGTGTTTGTAACATTGGGTGTCTGAACGCCTAGCAAGATTCTTTCCATTAAACACTCACAGCAGTTCTATGTTTTTCGTTAATTGGAAATAGGGGCCAAACACCAAAAGTAAGGTATCATTAGGCAATATTGCTGAGGTCCCTAAAATAACGCTGTTTAGTTGAGTTAGGTAGCTGCCCTCACATGACCTCGGGGACCTCAGTGTTAGCGATAACTCTGCTGAGAAATGTTAGCCGCCACATTGCTAAGTCTGACAGAACATGACACCCACAGGAGAGTTCAATGAGTTGTGAGTGGAAGTTGCAAAAAACTGTAAAATGATAAACCACGTGTTGTAACCAACATCCAACAGCTTCCACAGACTGGTTTAACTCTGACCCTGCTGGGAGCAGGTTTCCTGAAGGGGTATCGGCAGCATTGTGCTCAGTTTTCCCTCCAAATAAAGCGATTTGAATGTATAAATAATTAATATAAATTCCCCACTTCTTGTACATAATTCAGTGGGTTTTAAGATGTCACACACACACACACACACACACACACACACACACACACACACACACACACACACACACTGGATGGCAATGAGCCAATATTGAGTATGAAAAAGGTTTCCTCTCTGGTCTAATTATCCAACATCGCCGCCCAAATTCAGAACAATGTGAAGGCAGGAGGAAAATGTAAACCGGAAGTGTGTGTGTTCCTTTAAAGCCGTCGGTCTAACAATGCTCAGCAGCCGTGAGCTTCCTGCAGTTTACAGGCGCAGGCTTTAATAAAGCAGAGAGGAAGAGCTGCCCAATGGAGCCTCTGAGTTTCAGTGTTAGTCGCCTCAAGCATCGCCCCTTATAACACTTCTGAGAAAAGAAGATTTTAGAAATACTCTTCTCTCCTTGGCTCTACTTTAATAACTTCTCTACAACTCTTTTTGCAGTACTGAGGAAGTTCAATGAGCTTTTAAAAGAGATTTTTAGGCTGGATGCCAATTTGAGTTACCTTACATTTGAAGTACTATGTAGGTTTGTGTGGGCTTAATAATGAAAATGTCACATTAAAAGCGTTTGAGTTTTAATTGTTACCAGTTAATGTGTCCTCTAGTGATCGGACAGTAGAAGGTTTTATCGTAGAGCACGATTAGAAAAACTCACGATAACTTATAACTGTAGTGAATTTCCATTATTGTTATTGGGAATATTAGGTCTTAAATATCTTTACAGGACTGACTTGAAAAAGAGGTCTAGCTCGGTATCATGGTACAGACATGAGAAATATAGTCTGATTAAAGTAATAATATTATTATGTTAGCAAAAAGCATACCAATACAATATGCTGTTTTTGAAGTGCCCATCCTCCATTCTTATTTAACTACCCGTAGGGCAGCTAGTATACATCAACAGATTTTCTGCTTTCACGCGCATCGTATTCTGGATCTGGTTTGGACTGTAACAGCAATACTTCATATTTCACTCATGCATACACACACATATGAAACATCTCTGTATTCTGGGAAGAAAATGTTGTTGTTTGCAGTCACTTATTTTTGACATATTAAAAAGGTGTACAGTCATGGCAACCAAAGGCCAAGAATTGATAATTTCTCTCTAATGGTGGCCAACAGCAACCTGGCAACCGTTTCTGTCTAGATGTGCAGTTACATTCATAATGTGTCCTTTCATGTCAGAAATTCAGAACAAATTCATATTTATCTTCGCCTTCTGCAGTGCTGCTTCTGACCCCTCCTCTCTCCTCAGATGCCCACCGCCCCCCTGCGCTCCTCGGGGGTGTCGGCCCGCTCGGCAGTGTCGGCCCGCTCGGCGGTTGAGAGCGGCTCGCTGAGCCACCGGGGGGGCAGTGTGATGCAGAGCAGCTTCCTGTCCTCTCACAGCAGGAACACTCGCTCCAAGTCCCTGTGCCAAGCAGACCTGGAAACCCTCCCCCTCTCTGTGCCCGCTCCCCCAGAGAACCCCTGCTACTCCATCTCTATACCCCTCCCCGGCACCCTCAGGCGCAGCCTCAGCGGGACCCTGGCCCAGGACAGGGGCCTCTTTCACCAGGAGGCGGAGCTACCCTCTCAGTACACCTATAAAGGCCCCTCCCACCGCACCATCAGCCGCATCACCAACCGCCAGCAGCAGAGCCAGCAGCAGAGCGCCGCTTTCGGACAGGAGGGCTGGGGGGGGACCGGCAGGGGGGTCCCCACGGCAGGGGATGGCTGGGGGACGCAGTGGCAGCAGCATGTGTCCAGGGCCAACCATGTCTCGGGGAACGGGCTGTACCTGGCCCCCATCCGCCGGACCGCCTCCACCCACAGCGTGAGGAGTGTGGGGAGGGGAGTGGACATCCTGGATGGAGCGTCCATACACAGCAACGACCCTCTGGAGGAGTGAGACATGTTCTTTATTCACAGTACACACCCTCTGGAGGAGTGAGACACCTTCTTTATTCACAGTACACACCCTTTGGAGGAGTGAGACACCTTCTTTATTCACAGTACACACCCTCTGGGCCCATTCTGGGTCCGCTGTACATGTTGCTCTAAGTGTAGGCCCGTAAAGATAATTATTATTATAACCTGTGTGTGTGTGTGTGTGTGTGTGTGTGTGTGTGTGTGTGTGTGTGTGTGTGTGTGTGTGTGTGTGTGTGTGTGTGTGTGTGTGTGTGCGTGTGCGTGTGTAGTATGCGGGGTATGGACATGCCTACAGCTGTCCGATATTTGTTGGAGTCAGATGCTGGCCTGCAAGTTCTGGGAGCCGCGTACATACAACACCAGTGTTACCATAGCAACGATGCCAAAAACCAGGTAGAGCGCTTACACCTGCAAAATAATACTGCACCATGAAATGCATTCAAATCTCAGTGAGTGATGTCATTATTAGGGTGCTTGATCTTGAAAGAGAAAAAAGGCTTTTAATTTAGTTTAGAATATTGCTGTAAAGCATTATGAATATTACAGTGCATTTAACTATAACTGTAGTTCCTCTCCTCTCTCGCCCCCCCCCCCTCAGGTCCGTGCTCTGCATGGCGTTCTGGCTCTGGTGGAGCTGTTCGGCAGTGACAAACAGGAAGTGCAGCGTTACGCCACGGGCGCCGTGAGGAACCTGATCTACGAGAACGCGGACAACAAGGCGGCGCTGATAGACGCTGGAGGAGTTCTGAGTCTGGTCAACATGCTGAGCAAACCTGACGAGGAGCTGCAGAAGACCATCACAGGTACTGAAGAGTTCTGATCCACTATCCGGGTCCATAGGAGTCAAGTAGAACCTTCTCTCTGGGTTCCTATGTGCCAGCTCTTAGGAATTAAGGACAGAGAGACAAGCTTTGCTCAAATTGGACCCTGATCCAAGGCGACTGTAAACTGTCCAGGTGTCAATGGAGACCATCCAAACATTCTGAATGCCTTCCTTTTACTTTGTGAGGGTCATCTATTGGGATTATTTGCTTAAAAACACACATTTAAAATAACTAGGAAATAAAAAATTCATATATGATTTTTTTTTTGCCATATTTTAATAATTTGTTAGAATTCCCATTTTAATAGCTGTGTAATATTGCTGTAAAAAGATTCCCAGGTGCATTTATTTGATTCCTTGTGTAAAAACTGCCTTTTTCAAGATTACATTTGAACTAATCACAATAACGTTATAATATAATATAATATTTTTTCTGAACAAAGTTTGAACTCACCATGATAACTCAATCCTAATCCTAAAGGTTAGTGTTAGAAAAAATATCACTCGACACCGGTTTGAGAATCAATAATCAGGTACTAATTTATTCTTGCAAGAAGGAGCAAATCACACACAGGAATGTGGTTCCACTCACACACATGAGGTAGGCTGCTCAAAGGAACAGGAAATCACATCAAGCTTACTGTATATAGTCTAAGTACAGTCCAACTCATAGTCGTAAATCGATTTGGTGTCGGCAGGTCTCCGTACATGCAGGTATTCCCATTTACGATGATGCTGCTCTTTGCCCCTGAAAGGGTAGGAAGACAAGAGTAGGTGTCTTCCCATCTGTAGATAAACAAAGTGAAGGATGCCCTGGCTCCTTCTATCTAAAGAGGAGGCAGCTGCAAGGTCATACACAGCACCAACGGTTGTTAGATAACATAGGAATACCAAGTCACTTGTATTTTCCCCAACAGTTAGCCGTTAGCTTCTTGCCGCCCACTGTCACATCATCCGGGTGTCCCATCTTTTATTTGAGAGATTAAGGTCTGAACGCAGAAAGCAGAATGAAGAGGTTGTTTGTTGTGTCCTCAGGCATCCTGTGGAATCTGTCCTCCAGAGACAACCTGAAGGAGAAGCTGTCCAAAGAGGCGTTATCAGAGCTGACGGAGAAGGTTCTGGTCCCTCTGTGCAGCAGACTGCCTCTGAGCCCGTCTGAGAGAGACGTCTTCTACAACACCAGCGGCTGCCTCAGGTCTGTCCACTCACAGCCTGCTCCTCATCTTTTCTTTTTAACGGAAAGACTTAATGTCATTATACCAAAAGTTTGAATTTGTCCCTTTTGCAAGTTAGTACTATACACAAAGTATATCTAAGGCTGGTGGGAAAGTCATGTTTTGCCGTAATTTGTTCTTAGTTAAGGGAAGAAAAACTAAATGTTACATGGGAACTCAGAGAAGAACCAAATTGCAGTTCACTCTATCTACATGACATCTGTGACTCTGCTCTTCCTGCTCTACGGACACTTTGCAATGGTTGTGTTTCGGGTCTGAAAACACAAATATTAACTATGTGGGTTTTCTTCTTTTTACAAAACGACATGACAATGAGATTGCCAAATCATATTAAGTCAAGTTCATATAGACCTCATTCTTAATTTCCATCGTATGGAGCTGAATATTGAAGTTAAACCAGATGTATACAGCATGTCTTCCAGGAGATATCATTACATGTAAGTGCAGCATGCTCCAAAAAGTAAAATAAAAAGGTTGATAGTGGAGAAGTTGCTTCTGAAGGGTCTAAAGAGATATTCATAAGCTTTGTGCTAAAGCTGCTCAAATATGAATTGTAGTAGCACACAATTACGTTCTGATAGCCTGGGTTTGATGAGTCTGTGTGTGTGTTTGTAGGAACTTGAGCTCAGTGAATGAGAGGACGAGACAGAAGATGAGAGAGATGCAAGGCCTGGTGGACTCTCTGGTGTCTTACATTCAACAGGAGGACAGGGCAGACGACAAGGTAACGGACGCGCGCTGTTAAAGCCTTTGACATGATTACACTGTAAAAAGTGATTCTAAAATCACTCTGATCATCACAGTCAGTGAAAAACACTGGCAGCCCCTTCAAAGCTTCAGTTACTGAGCAGAAGCAAACAAAGCTGGAGAGAAAAAGAACAAAAAGATGAGATTGCACAAAATAAAAAACTAAACGAAGGGATTATGATTTTGGGATGTCATATGACTGTCCGTACTTTAAATTCATAAGATTTGGCACAACCATCCATGATTCAAGGATGAGATGATTAGGTTTGGTGCTCAAAGTTAAAGGTCAAGGTAACTGTGACCTCACTCCTGAGGACAGAATAGCAGAGTTCAGTAAAGACTGGGTTGATATTTGATCTGCTTTAGTTTGGCAGATACTGATCCGTTTAAATATGCTTCAATCCACTCTATGCCAATCCTTAGAATTGGTTCAGGACTTCCGACGAAAGATGTGAATCTGAAAAAGCTCACAGAAAGATCCACTGTCCAACTTCTAAAAAGGTTCAGAAATGCCCAAATACAGCTGAACTATGTGTTTTTAACAAACATTGGGTAAGTATTTGTTGCAGCAGGACCTTGCATTTAGGATTGAGTCAAATTGGACAGCATTGTGGAAAAGTAGGAAAAGGTGAAACAGTGTTACTCATTTCATATTGTAATAGTGAACTTGAATAGTCAACTTAAGGATATATCATTCTTCTAATACTTGGAAGAATCCTCGTATTTTTGCTTTGACTCTTCTCACAAGGTATGTTGTAAGTAAGAAAACGCTCTGCAGTTAGAAGCATATTTGGTGATGTTACTTGAAGTGAAACATAAAGAATGTTAGCCTGTTACCAGTTCAGGCTTTTATCTCTCAGTCCTTCATTCTTTCAGCGGCTCACATGAGCTACAGACGCTTCTCCTCACACTCTGCCTCTCATTGTGGTTTGGCACATTTCACCAAGTTAGGAGCACTGTCAAGAGATGGGATAAACCTTGAACCAACCAGCAGATGATTGATACACACACGGCTTTAATTAGACATCACCATGAACCCTGCCTGCATCTGATTGCTCATTGCACTAACACACAATGAGGGAAAGTCATGGTTTAGAAAAACTCAAAACAAAAGGTGGCTGCTACTTTATCTCTGCCTAAATCTGATGTTTTATAGATAAGGTATAGTTTGAAACACTAAATTCCTTCTCAGCTACTGCACTAAACATGGAAAAGTGGACGTCTATAGGTCCTGTTCATGCATGCTTGTATTTAGTGTGAGATTGTAAATAACACCAGAGAGAAGAACTGAATTTCCCCTCAGGGTTAAATTAAGGTGATCTTAAATCTTTGTCCCTGGACAGATGTTGAAAAGTCACCCTAAAAACGTATTGTAATATTGAGAAAATAACAAGTGAACTAAATGCACATTCACATTCAAAGTGGCAGAAAAGAGCTTGTTTATCAAAAAAGGTGCCAGGGGAGGATCCGCTCAGAATTTCCATCCGGCCCCCGGGCAAAACCAGTTGGGTATCCCTGCTGTATTGGTTCTAGTTAGACAAACCAGTTGTAGCAGGACGATGTTTCCATGCGTCAGTTACCTGTTAAACATTACAGGACATCAGAGGGCTTATTCTACCAGGTTAGATATTTATTTTATTTGATTTATTATTGCTTTTACCACATTGTGTTTGTTTAGGGTTTGGAGAATTCACTGTGTGTGATGAGGAATCTGTCCTACCAGCTGTACACGGAGCTGCCTCCGTCCGTCCGGCTGCGTCTGGAGGGCCCGTCCAGGGCCTCCGCCTCCAGGGAGAGTGAGGCCATCGGCTGCTTCACTATGTATAACAAAAAAAACAACGAGGTAAAAATCCCCTGATACACAACCCCCATTTTAGGATTTTCAGAATCATCATCACAAGAGAAAAAATGTGGACAGTTGTTATAATTTATTAACACACAATAATTATACCCCCCTTTTAAGCCACCACACTCTGTCAAGCACTGTGATTTTACTGATCAATGGAAAATCCATTCCATTTTCACATTTCCATTATGACTGCCTTACTGTTTTCAGCTGATTTTATTACCATCTCAGAGACAACATCAACAATATCCAAACATTTCCTCTCCTGTTCTGGATTATCGAATGAAATGAATATCATCCTCATTGTGTTCATGTCATGGGACCAGTTTATCTTCCACTGGGGAGCTCTCTGTATTGTAAAAAGGTTGCATGTGCCAAGGTCATATACCACTGCTGTATAAAATATTTAGCCAACCAATGTTGGGCCACACTATGCATGCACATGCATCTCAAGTGTGGTTTGTTGTATGCACCATCATTATCAGAAATGACACTTTTTAAAAGATATTACAATTATCAAGTAGCAAAATATCAAGCTCAAGCCGTTGTTCTCGCAGGTATCTCAGTCATAGTTAGATATAATACGTCTGTGGAACACAGAAACTCTAGAAGTGTCTCTGGGTCCACAGGGAGGATCGGTTTACTTCACCAGCAGATCACATTTCTCCTCTCAATAGCAGGCTGTGGAGGCCAATGAAAAGTCAACATGTATGTTCTCATGGAAGAGGAGAAAGGAGAAAGGGACCTCTTTAACCATGTGACCTGCTTTTCCATGTGATGTAGCATTACTTAGCAACGGTTTCATGGAGGCTAAACAGGAAGGTTTGATATCCTGTTCATATGTCCCTGAGGATAGTGACCTGTCTCCCGGGGTGTTTCTCAATGTTGAGTATGCTTGCTCGGTAGCACATGTCTTCCGAGCGTCTTGCTTCAGAAGCGAGGCAAGAATACTTCCTGGCATTCGTAAAACGAAGAGTGGAACAGGCTAGCAAGTGTGCAGGTGTGCGTCATATGAGAGGCCCCGCCTTACATTTTCCGCCAAAGATTTGGGGAAATTGGTCCGTGCGCAAAGCATTGGGGGGATTATAAGACCCAGGAGTCTATACATGTGCAGTCTCGAAATTTCTCCAAACGAAGTACGCCGGGCTCGTTAGAATTCCAAGTATGCTGGACATTGGAACAGTCCTTCGGCGGCACTCGATGACGTAGTATGCTTGAAATAGTGGCACTGGAGCAGCTTTACTCAAGATTGAGAAACACCCCCTGTCTGTTCATCTGGCTAGTTCTTTAGTTATCAGAAAGATGAAACCCAACAGCCTCCTGCTGGCTGCTGCAGAGCTACAGGCTGGGGCCCAACCCTGGCAAGGGCTACTTATAGCTAGCTAGCTAACTAACATACCAGCTAACACAAGAGAAAACATTCTATCAAAAGACGGATAAGAGTGATAAATATCATAACATTTCAACAGAATGCTCTGTATGTTACTGTGCAATAAATGGACATCCTTTCTCTCTTTCACAGCGTAACCAGAATATGTTCATACTGTCTGAAGTGTCCCGACAACCTAATGGCGCTGAGTGGCTTTGGCACCCTAACATGGTGGCGTTGTACAAGCTTGTTCTGCAGAACAGCGACTGCAGCTCCACCAGCCGGGAGGCGGCCGTAGGAGCCCTGCAGAACATCACTGCAGGAGAGGGCCGGGTACGAGCTCAACGTCATACAAATATACAATATGCATGTTTATTCTGAAATGACTGACTCATTATCTTGTGCAGTTGCTTTGGCACTTGAGTCTTCCTCAAGGAAATAAACAACAGAGTGGTGCAGGAATGAGGCCTGAAACACGGAAATTAATTAGCTTTTTTGCGTTTCTAGTTGCCTCGTCTTGAAGTCAATGTTTTTTTGAATTAGTTTTGGCTTCAAGGATGTTAATGTTTTGTTCTAGGACATAACATATATCTGTAAATACCCTCAATGGTAAATGACTGAAGCTTTTACATGTCATAAAAAACATCAGTACGGACTACCAAACGTCAACGCGCATGGGACCGTGACGTAGCTTTTTGGCGATTTCATTTAGTGTTAATTTATGGAGATTATTTTGCAGAACAAAATGTGTGATCATTTCTTTTTTGGCAATATCCAAACTTCTATGGAAAAATAACATTGTATTTTGTAGAGGGAACCAGGGCAATAGCCGCGTTCACACCGCAGTACTTTTCCACTTTAGTTCCACTTTAATTCCGATATAGTTCCGAAATGTCGCATTCACACCAAAGAAATCCTGAACTAAAATTAGTTAATCAGAACCTTTTTTACCCCCTTTTAGAGAGCAGGTACTTTCGTGGGAGAAAAAGGTTCCTATGTCTGATTGGCTGGGCGGAATGCAAACCAGGCCCCGTAAAACTCCCAAAAACGTTTGTGAAGCCGCCATTTTATTATCATTATTAGCATTAGCATTAGCCCAGCACAGAAACGCAAAGAGACTAACACAAAAGAAAACATGGGAGCGGTGAAGATGAGGAGGTGTCGGCGTTCTGGCGATTTACTCAGAAGGCTGCTGGGAGTCCCAGCGGCTTCTACTGAAGCCAGTCCCCAACTCCGGGGACTTCCGGCCGGGGACTTCGGGTGGCAGTATGCACCGGGAAGTGGTTTGCGGCCTACAACAAAATGAACATATTTGACCGTGATTTAATTGAAATACATGTTTCAAAATGATGCCGAAGTAACAACATACTGATACAGTAAAAACCATGAATTAATGCTTTGACAAGTCTGCAGACAGACAGCAGGCGAAAAACCTTTTAAAATGCGTGTTTTCTAAATGGAGATTGGCTAAGCTAACGCAGTATATGCTCCGACCGTCCACACTCACAACAACGGCCTATACAGACATAAATAAACCAGCGACTGTACTCGCCATGACACAGACAGTCTGT